CCCCCCTTCCTCCCGGTCTGCACCTAAGGCACCAGAAAGTTTTCGTGTCAGCAAAAACGTCAATTGAATGAACTACATTAGGTCACGTTCACGAAATAAGCAAATTATAGCCACCGTATTATTCATCTGTATTTCCTCTATAAATAACAAATGATCGATGCTCAGATTTCAATCAACAACGGCCCCACTAAGAGGGTGCTCTGCCTGTGGTTCTTGGCATTCAGATGTAGTAGAGCGCGACCGAAAAATTGCCGAGAAAAAAAAGCGCTCCCCAGCATCTGAACTCCTGAAACAGGCCGGGCAGGGCGCTAATAATTCAAGCTTAATCAAGCGTTTATCAAGTTTTACATTACCTTTGCAGAGTCAACTCGCGAAACCAGATCCACTGATGACAGTCAACCGGACCATATGTAAACGCTCCGACTCCACGTGGACCGCGGCAGAAAATAACAAAACACGTCCATGATAAAAATAGTGTCCGTTTCGCGTTTTCCCTACTATCAGAGGCCCTTTTCCTTTGGTGTTCGGCCCGCAGAGGTCTCTTTACCTCTCGCCCGCCAAATACCAGGGAAACCATATGTTTATGCTTTGAGATTTACCGAAAGACGCTCGAATGATGCGCTTAGCGACCCCGCCTAAGAGTCCTATTGCTTTGACATCTGGTTGGTGAAGGTCAATGTCACCCGAGGGCAAGGAGAAAAGACTGTCGCCCACCGGGCGGAAAGATCGCAAACACTTTCCCAATCGCCTCAAGTCAAATATCCACAAGGATCCAGGTAGGCTATTTCAGTATTTTTCACCACAGTAAGGCCGAGATAAGGTGATTAGTTGTTAGATTCAGTTAAGTTTCCCACTTATAAACGAGATAATTCGCCGACGTTAAGCAATGAGTTACAAGCTAACCTTGCAAGGTTAATTAATTTTGAACAAGCGCTAACAGATTGCGTTTTTCGGATGCTGTGCAGTGCTGTGCTTTCGATGCGTGTCAGCGGACATTATTTTGGAAACTGTTGAGGACTTATTACCTCAGCACCTTGGTGCGGACCACGAACATGCTATCTCGATCTGGGTCTTCTTGAAATTTCCAGGTGATCGGAGGCTCCGGAGGAATTTACTCATGGCTGTTTTCTTCTCGGTGGATCTGGTGGCGTTTCACTATATTAGGAAGGTGCATACATCGGTAACAGGTGTTGGAACTGAAACAACAATCGGCCCCAGACCAGTGCAAGACATAAAAGACAAGCAAAAGAATTAAAGTAAGCGATATTTACGTTCATAATTTTGCCATGAAATCGAATCTCCCTCCCGAGGGGACCTCAACAAAGTTTCAGTGTCGTGACTAGGCATATGGGAACAGGGATCACAGCGCCAGGATCTCGGATCACAAGCCGCAGGATCACAGGATCAATAGTATTGTAAGGGATCAGGGATCCGGTTTTCTGACATAACAACAACAAAATAACCACAAAATTCTAAAATGCGCCTTAATTAGAGGGACCTGCCAGCCTTTTAAAATTCATTTGTATTTTTACTGTAACATTTCGATCCGGTGCTAAACCGTATGCAGTCCAATCTGCTGGACTAGCTTAACTGCAAACCGTACATATACTTTCCTATTTATCTCATGTTGCCTTTTTTAGTACATAACTGATACTCTGCTGGTTGACCTGTTGATTCAGTTTGTTGGAGCTATACATGAAGGTGTCTGAGCTACCGAATTGGTCAATGTCTTCGACTTTCAAAGTTGGATTCTGGAAAAAAATTCACGCAATGCCAGTGGAGCCAGAGGGACTCCTCTCCCCGTTCTTTAATTTTCTTCGCGTTATTAATTTCCGCCTGTTTAGATTTTCCTTTGCCCCCCAACTATCTGCCCCTGGGTCTCCGAGAACGGAGAAACCTGTGCTCACCATGGTAAGGTGTCTGTGATGTCTGTACCAAACTTGCAAAGCCTTCAAGGCAAGAGAATCATCCAAAA